GTACAGAGTTAGGTACCAATATAAAGTCCGTATATAGAACGGACTTTATAGAGCATTTTTTTCTTATAATATATCACTAGAATCCACAAAGGCTTCAAGGTGCCTTGGGATTCTCCCCCCCCCCCCTCGGGTGATTAGCATGGTTGGCCCCTGGAAGCTATCCCCAAACTTTTGTATTATTTTGTGTTCCATTTATATAGCCTTATTCCGTCTCCCTAGTTCCAAGTTCTTTTCATATTAACAAAAATGTTCTTACTAGCAGTTTGCTTGCTAGTAAACCTCCAGCGTGCACTGAACGCTCTTTCCTTCCCAGCTGTGTGGTGTTCCAGTTTGGTGAGCACAACAATTTCCTCTCTGTCAAAGATGTGTTGTTCTGTGGTTTAGGTAGCAATTTTGGTTGCTCGCTGTCTGTAACATTGCTGTAAGGTTTCGCTGGGCTCTTCAAGTAAACACTGAGACGTGTTCTTGATGGAGAATTCTGGTATGGGCAAGAAGCAGCTGCCCTTTTGCTGCTGTCTTGCTCCAGGGAGATCATTGGACATGGTGGGACATATTCCGTTGCTCAATTAGCAGATGCCAGACTTACTGGCACGTGGCTCTTCTTCCTGCCCAGATAATGCAGGCCGGCCATCCCTCCCTCTGCGCTTGGAAGGTCCACAGCTCAGTGGTGGAGAGCCTGCGCTGCATCCAGAAAGTCTCAGATCCAGTCCCGGGTGGGATTGGAAAAACTGCCTGGAACGGTGCTGAGCAGCTGGCACCCAGTGACTAGATTCTGCACAATGGGCTTTGGCGCCTGTATTTTAAAATATTCAAGCTTCGGCTGCAGCTTGGCAGATTGCCCAAATCTGGGCATTGGGGGCTGTATGAGGGTTAAGCAGCCCTCAGTGTAATCCTGCCCATGAGTGAAATGAGGATGATTTGACCTTCACACAGCCCATGCAGCCAGGGTTCAGGTGACACAGTGCTCCAGAGCTGGAATAATCACAGTGGCTGTGGGCTTTTGCCACACCCACCATCAGAGTTGAAGATGCCGGGCTCCATGAGCCAGTGGTGTGACTCGTATGTGTTGGCGGAATTTGGATTAGTCCATAAAACAGTTGCTTGGCCAAATGCCTCTGCTGCTTTTCCTTTCCTTTGCTGTCTCTGCTTCTGCTCCACTGTTAAATGCTCTGAACTAGGAACCTGAGTGGTCTTGTGCAGGTTGGACTGTGGTTTGCAAGACCCTGAGTTCTTGGTGGGGAGTTCCAGTTCTTTCTCTAGATATGGCTTGGAGAATCAGTGGTGAATTTGGAGACTGGTAGAACCATGACGCTAAGAAGAAAGACTTGTGGAGATGGTGAGGGAGAGTGATTCTGAACTGGAAAAACGAACGGTGGCTTTACAGACACTGCTTTCTTTGACATATATCAATGATCTGGAGCAGATTAGAGATGGTCTAATTGTTACTCTGACTTTCAGAATTTTGGGTATCCTTGTTACAAACGATGCCTCCTTCTGGTGTGGTCAGCTTGAAGTTTCCTGGGGACAGGATTTGTAGAGAAACCGTCCCTGCAGCTTACTAATGCTGAACATTAGTCAATGTCAAAGGGCATTGAAAGTGAAAAGGAACCTTGTAATGAGTGGAGACTGGAAAGCGCAACTCATTCAGGAAGGAAACAAGAAGTTGCTTCTTGGTGCAGAAGAAGCAAAGATTGTAAATATGAGAAAGAAAGATCTCCCCGTGACTGTGAAGAACAAAAGCGGTCACAGGAGGCATCAGAAGGAGAGCTTACCTTGAAGAGAAGCAGCATAAGGTGTGTCAGCAGGTAGAAGAGGCGCTTTGACAATGTGTTAGGCGATCGCAGTGACACCCAAAGCTTTAAATCTGCAAACCATTTAGAACTGGAACTTGGGGCTTCTGCTGAAGATGCAGGTAAAGGTTGTGGGGCAGGAGCAGGTGGGCGCATTTAGCCGTCTCCGGTGTTGTGCACACGGACAGGCCAGTGGGGGGGATGCTGACGTGGGCGATCTCTCCCAGGCAGTGCTTGTCCTACCCCAAATACAGAGCAAGGGCAGGCAGCCCGGAGGCCCTCCAGTTGCAAACGGTCCCCGGTCCTTGGCCTTGCTGGCACTGGCCCGTGGGAGTTGTGGCCCCCGGTTGCCCTGCTGTAGAGACAGGAGGGCTGGAAAAATGTTGGTGCCTTGATGGAAGGGGACGGCGAGCTGTGTCGCTGGCTGAAAGCTGCGCCCAGTGCTGGGAGAGGCCCAGCCATATTGTTCAGTTGCACTGAGAGCAGCGCACCTTAAAGGAAGCCAGAAAGAGAGGCGCAGGCACAGGAAGAGTCGGCTGGTGCGGAATGCATCTATTTCCGGCACCTGTTCTTATCTTGTTGGCTCAGTTACTTTTTGCGGTGTCACCGTCTCTTGCTGCGACTCACAGTGAGCCCTGGGGATTTCTGCTTGCTCCTGGTAGGAAATGCTTGTCTGAGCTGTGCAGCTCCTGGCTGCTGGCAGGCGAAAGGAAATGGCTGGCCCTCCTTATTTATTTTATTTATTTATTTAAAACATTTTTATGCCGCCCCCATCGCAACAAAGCCTCGGGGCAGCTCACAACAGAAACAAAATACATAAATAAATAACAATACAGCAGTGAAAAAGTTATTTAAAAACCTCCGGTGCATCTCGGCTAAAAATTTAAAATCCTACAAATACAAATAATTTAACAATTAAAATAAGTTTTAAATAAAAAGGTCTTAGCCTGGTGCTGAAAAACAAACAACAACGGTGCCAGGCGGACCTGTCTGGGGAGCACATTCCACAGATGGGCCACCGCCGCAGAGAAGGCCCTCCTCCGGGTACTTTGCTTCCTGATATCTCTTACAGGAGGGCCTCTGCTGCCGATCTCAAGGGGCGGGAGGGCAAATAGGGAAAAAGGCGTTCCTTCAGGTATCCGGGTCCCAAGCTGTTAAGGGCTTTATAGGTAATAACCAGCACCTTGAACTGAGCCCGGACTTCAAGTGAAGCTGGTAGAGGACTGGGGTTATATGAGTCCTTGTCAGCAACCTGACTGCTCTGTTTTGTACCATCTGAAGTATCCGGACTGTCTTCAAGGGCAGCCCCACGTAGAGCGCGTTGCAGAAATCCAACCGGGAAGTAACCAATGCATGCATCACTGTCACTAGGCAGTTGTCCTCCAGGTAGGGACGCAGCTGATGGATTAGCCGAAGCTGATGGAAAGCGCTCCTCACCACCGCTGACACTTGAGCTTCCAAAGTCAGCTCTGGGAGGATCACTCCTAAGCTGCGGACCCTGTCCTTTAGAGGGAGTGCAACCCCATTCAGGACAAGATCCAAGTCGCCTACCCAGGAGTTCGAACCACTCACCAGCAGGACCTCTGTCTTGTCTGGATTGAGCTTCAGTTTATTGGCCCTCATCCAGCCCATTACCTCGGCCAGGCACCGGTTGAGCACAGCCCCTGCCTCACCTGGATTGGTGGAGAACGAGAGGTAGAGCTGGGTATCATCAGCATACTGATGATTCCGCAGCCCACACCTCCGGATGACCTCTCCCAGCGGTTTCATGTAGATGTTGAAGAGCAAGGGGGACAGAATGGACTCCTGTGGAACCCCATGGATAGCTGCCATGGCGCAGAGCCATAGTCCCCCAGCACCACCTTCTGGAATCGGCCATCAAGGTAGGAGCAGAACCACTGCCAAGCAGTGCCTCCTACTCCCAACCCCCTTAGCCTATCCAGAAGGATACCATGGTCGATGGTACCGAAAGCCGCTGAGAGGTCCAGGAGAACCAGGGACGCACTTCTCCTGTCCTTCTCCCTGCACAGGTCATTGTACAGGGTGACCAAGGCAGATTCAGTACCGTACCCGGGTCTGAAGCCGGACTGAAATGGGTCCAGATAATCAGTCTCATCCAAGAGAGCTTGGAGTTGTCCCGCCACCATCCGCTCCAGCACCTTGCCCAGAAACGGGATGTTGGCCTCCGGTCTATAATTGGCGGCCATCTCTGGATCCAGGGACGCCTTCTTTAGGACTGGCCTGACCACTGCCTCCTTTAGAGGGGCAGGCACCTGGCCATCCTTCATTTGGTACCGCGATGCTATTTTCAGATTGAAAATGAGGGGACTGCCTTTTGCAGTGGTTCAGCTCCTTTGGGACGTCAGGTTTCTCAGCAGTAGGGCAGGGTTATCCTGTTGGGTCAGGGAAGAGACAGTCGTATCCCTTGCAATGTACAGATGCGACGTGTGGCCCCTGGAAGTCCCACCAGTATCTTGACGGCTCCCTGCTTCCCTTTGCCTCTCTGTTCAACACAGCGATGGCACTTCTTGCTTTGAACACTTGCTAGACGAGTGTCCGTGAATGGCACCTCAGTCCAGGCAGGGCAGAGTGGATAGCTGTGCATGGGGCCAGTTTGTGCATGGGGAGGTCCCTCCCCACACCCTGCGGAGCAGGGGCCGGCTGCAGTCCCGGGGATTGGATGTGGCCGGGACACGCTCTCTTCCGGATCAGGCAGCTCTGCCCACTGGGAAGGAGAGCTCCTGTCTTGCATACCTTGCTGATCGTCCTCTTTAGTCGAGCACAGTAGGCTTGTAAGTGGGCGTGCCTTTGGAAACTTCCCGGCTCTTTGAAGAGTTCAGTGTTCTACTTCCCACAGCACAAGCAGCTTCCACCAAAGGGGGCTCGCGCTCAAGGAGACTGTGGAGGCATCTTCAAAGCCAGCAGGTGTCTCCATAGAAACAGAGCGAGTCAGAAGGGACCTCCCGGGCCATCTAGTCTGACCCCTGGCTCCATGGTATCCACCTATTGTGCTCTAGTTACTGATCATTTCCTAGCCAAATGTGATTATGCAGAGCCTGCCTCCTTTGTTTCCGCTGCCACCTGTCTTGCTCTTAATTCTTAAGAATATTTTGAGGAGTCCATTTGTTTGCCTTGCTTGCATAACCATTCAGGAAAAGGGCTTAGGTATGCTCGATGTGAGATGACGGGGACTCCCTTCTGCCTTTTCAGGTATGCTGGAAGATGGGAAAAAGTTTGATTCCTCTCGCGACAGGAACAAGCCGTTCAAGTTTGTGATGGGCAAGCAGGAGGTTATCCGCGGCTGGGAAGAAGGGGTCGCCCAGGTACGTTGGTGCAAGCTTGGACTGCGGAGGGTGCCAGGAGCTGTGGGAAGCAAGCAGTGCTCGACGTCCTCTGGCGGCTGGAAGGGGCTGCGTCCGTCTCGAGGGGGGTTTCCCGCTGGAGGAGTTGGGTGGCGAGGGAGCGCTTGGTCACAGAACAACCGCCGTCCGCGCAAGCGAGGCATCTGGGGGAGCCGGCTGAATTGCCCACTGTGCCCACTGGTTTGTGCATCAGTCGCGGGGTGGATTCAGGTATCCCCTTCCCTGCCTCGTGGCAAGGCAGCGGCGACACGGACCCTGTGGGGCACCTTCTCTCAGCTGATCCAGCAGGTGCTTTTGGCTTTGCTGACTGCAAGGGCCAAGCTAGTTCTGGGTCGCACCTTCACTGTTGGCAGCTGCTTGCCCTGATGGAAGGAGTCGGGGGGTGTAAGCAGAGAGGTGAAGGAGGGGCATGTGCAGAGTGGCCTGTATGTGGCCTTGAGGGCTCTGCTCGCCCACAGCCGGGATCCCCGGGAAGGCTGCCTGCCCGGGGCTTCCCCGTGTCCTCGCCGCACGCTTAGCGCTGGGTGAGGCCTTGGTGGGCTGGTGATGCGCAGAGGGCCCTGCATCGAGTGCTCTGCTCTTGCCTTTGCAGATGAGCGTCGGCCAGCGGGCCAAGATGATAATCTCGCCAGACTATGCCTACGGCTCGACCGGGCACCCAGGAATCATCCCACCCAACGCCACTCTAACCTTCGACGTGGAGCTGATCAGATTGGAATGACGAGAGGGCTGTCCTCCCACTTCCCTGCTCTGGGGTAGGTGATGGGCTCGGGGGGCTCTTGCGGTGTTGCCCCGAGGCCTGCGCCTGGGATCATGGTCCGAGGGTGGCGCTTAGCGCCACTTGGTGAGGCAGGCGCTGAAGGGAGCTGGTTTCCGGGTCCATCCCTCCGATTGGCACAAGGAAGGCAGGCATCTCTTGCCCCAAGAAATAGCAGCGGGAGATGGAGAGCTGCCTGCCAGAGCCAGTTCCTCGATGAAGTGGCTCCTCGGGCGTCGGATCCTCTCCCCTCTCTGGATCTTGGCACTGCCTCTGCCCTGCCCTTTCACGGCCTCACGTGGCCCCTCCCTCCTCCCTCCCAGCGCAGGCCCTGAGGCAGGTTCTCTTTTGTCTGAACAGGTTTGGCACATGGAGAAATCCAGAAAACTTTGCTTCAAGATGAATGCACATGAATTTGTATGGAGCTTTCCCGGCTGTCCACTACACCATCCACCCCGATTTGAATGTTTTGGGTCACTTGGCTCTGCTTTTGACTCTCCTTCCTTGTTTTCCTCTGATTTTTGACGTTTTCAGTGACATGCTGTAGCCTTCAGCTGTCTTGTTTTGGTTTTTTGGTCAGGTTCTTTAATCTTATTTTTGTTGGGGGGGTTTGATGTAGATTAAGTTGTGTATGATGGAGCATTATTAGTAAGTATACTGATTGGTTCACATTATATAGGAATAATTGCTTGAAGGCAAACGTTTTTGTTTTGTTTTGGAAGTATGTATTGTATTAAATCAATTTGCTGCTGCAAAGCCATACAAAGCAGTTTAAGGAGCTGCTGAGGGCTGGATAGCCATGTGGTCACAGGAGTTGACGAGGTTCTCTGCCTGAAGCTTGGGGCCCCCAGGGACTCCCCGTGCCCTCTTTGCCGCCCTTTTGCGGAGGGGGCAGCTTTCGCACTCACCTTGTTCCTCCGGGGCTGTTCCGGTCCCAAGTCAACGACTCTTCCCCCCTGGCAATATTGTGCTGTGTGGCATTTTCTACTGGATCTTCAGGATATTTTTAACCTTTAGCCGTCTGAATTTTACAGCTAGCTGAACCCAAGAACTTTGAAGGTGCTGTTTAGCATGGGGCGGAGGGGTGAATCCACGCCGGCCCCCCAGCCGCTAGTGCGGACAGAGAGCGTTCTTGACCAAGATCGGATGCTGGTCATCGCAGCTCGCAGCGGCCTCTGCGCCAGCCCCCTCCCTCCCTCCCTCCCTCCCTCCCTCCCGTGTAGTGCGTTTTGGTAAGAGAATCGCCGCGGCCACTTCCTTCACCACCACCATCACATAAACATAGAGTTTTATTATTGCAATAAAAATGCTTTATGCTGGCTTTTCTCAACACCTGCCTGCTGGTTGTGATTTTTGCAAACTTGCTCTCGAGGCCTGCCGGGGAGAGTTCCTTGTGAAGTCACGCCGAGCCCTGGCGAGCCCGTGATCCGTGTCAGAGTGGCACACACGCTGCTCATTGCGTTCGGTGCCTTGCCTTTCTTCGAAACCGGAGCTCTGTGTTGGGTCCACAAATAGCTTTGCATTCCCCCCAAAAGTTTGCCTTTCTTCCTCGCCCGCATCGTGGCAGTGCCACTGCACACAGCGTCAGAAGAGTGGGTTTCCATGCCGAGACTGTGGTGTCCCTGGGGATCCAGGACCTGCAGTGTGAATATCCGTCGGGGTGGACGGAACTGCATCAGAGGCAGCCAGCCTTCCCGCACGGGCATGCCAGTGTGAGGTGGGCTGCTGGGTGGGAGGACTGTGGGGCAATTAAATTGCTATGGAGAGAATCCTCTCGCGGTAGATGTGACATGCAGGTGGTAAGATGTTAAGAGTTCTGTTGGATCAAGCCCAAATGGCCACGTCTCACTGCTTTTGAAGGGTCACTTGCCTTCAGGAAGGGTCGGGTTTCCTAAACAACTTCTTAAACAGCGTAGAGTCCTGGGAGGGAGGGAGGGAGGGAGAAATTTCTAGCCTGGTTGAGCACGAGAATTTGCAAAGTGACGGCAGCATCCATGAAGTCTGTGCTGAATTAGCAGTAGCTAGAAAGAAAGGTTCCCCATCCCCTCCTTGCTCTTTTACAGAATTAAAACATACAAGCAAAAACAACAATTTCACAGTGAAAGCAATAGTAATAACTGATAACAACAGTAAAGCAACCCCAAAACAATCTCACAAAAGCCTATTAAAACTACCACTTAAAGTATTAAAATGCCTGGAAAATAAAAAGGGTTTTACCTGGCGCCGAAAGAAAAAAGAGTAGGTGCAGATGAACCTCTCTGGAAAGCAGGTTCCAGAGATGTGGTTCCACTGCTGAGATCCCCTCCTAGTTTTGGGGAGGTTCCCTGAGAAGAACTTCAACAGATGATCCTAAGGGTTGGGTGGGAGCAGAAGGGACGAGCTGCTCCTTCAGATAACCTGCCCCAGGCCACTGAGGGCAGCGCTTTGAATCTGGACCAGACTTCAGCTGGCAGCCAGTGCGGCTGAAGGAGGACTGGCGTGCTGTGCTGAGCCACACTGCCCCATTCGGAGGAAGCTGGAGTGTCTAGGCTGTCTTCAAAGGCAGCCCCGTGTGGAGCACGTGGCCCAGCTGAGAGGCCGCTCGAGCGTGTGTAGCCGGAGCCAAGCTCTGCCTGTCCATCAGCTACGTGTGCAAGAAGATGCGACGGGCTCCTAGCCCCCGAGTCTCCTTGCGACTCCCGTCGACGGCTCTGGGTCCAGGAGCACCCCACACCCTGAGCCCTGTCCTTGAGTGGGAGTGCGCCTGACCGGGACGGGCTGGAGAGCACACACCAGCCGCATCTCTGCTTTGTCCGGACTGAGCCTCAGCTTATCGGCCCTCGTCCAGTCCAAGGGCTTTACCAAGTCCAAACCCTGATTAGGAGCCGCCACTGCTTCACCTGGATTTGATGAAAGGGAGAGGCAGAGCTGAGAGTCCTCTGCCTGTTGATGACACCTTAGCCCGTACCTCCGGGCGACCTCTCCCAGTGGTTTCACTTAGATGCTCAACAGCATGGGGGATGCATAGAGCCCCTGGTGCCCAGTGGCATAATCGACAGCACAGAGCAAGAATCCCCCAGCACCACCACCTGGAATCGGTTGGTCAGGTGCCTCCTCCTCCTAGCCCAGCCAGCCTATCCAGAAGGACACCATGGCCAAGGGTATCAAAAGCTGGGCTGGTGCGAAAGCTCTCTGGCTGCTGATATGGTACACGTGTGCGAAGGTGTCCAGGGTGTCCACTACGTGTGTGTAAAGGCACGTGTTGGCAGTTGATTCCCAGAAGGCCCTTGATGAGTGAGCTTGTGGCCAGGTGTTCAAGGATAGGCTAGACATGCACATGGTGGGCATGTTGTGAGTGGAGCCAGGGGTCAGACTAGATGGCCCAGGAGGACCCTTTTGACTCGCTCTGCTTCTCTGTTTCTAAGTGCTCCTTCCTCTCTCCAGCACCCTATGAGCATGGTGGCATTGTGGCCAAAACGCACTCTGGGACACGTTCCTTGCGAAGCACTTAAATGAAGCATGGGGTGTCCCTTCGAAGGAGCCCCCTGAGCTGCTCATGGTTCTAGTCTGGCGTGACTCCCTGTTTCCATAGCTTGTTAGCACATGGCAAGACATGCTAAATAGTATTACACGATTAGTCCGGCTTCATCAGGTAATCGTGTAGTAATCCAATTAATTGGGTCAAAGCTGTGAATGAGCTAAGGTGGGTTGACGCTCACTCAAAAGGCTGCTTTGTTGCAAGGAATGCCGTCCGCGTTGCAAGCCGAACGACGCTCTCGGAGCCGTGGCAGTTCCTCCACCGCCTGGAACGGCGGGAATTGCACTCGGAGCCCTTGGCATCGCCCACTGCAGAACGATCGTCCTTCCAGGAGGAATACCGGTGACCACAGACCCTACTCGCCATCTGTGCTTGCAGATGTCCAAAGGCTGGCCAGGCCCAGCACCTGGTTTGCCACGGTAGTCACGCAGGGCTTCTGGAAAGCTCCCTTGGGACAGCCAACAGGTGCTTTGCTCTGCTGTCTCTCAGCAACCGATCGCAGCGCTCGGCCACTGATCCCGCCAGCTGCTGGCAGGCCCCTGCTGCTTCTCGGCACCGCCGTCGCACCTTGTACTGGGAACCGGAATAAGCAACTGGAGTTGCAGTGCTACTCATGTTTTCCGAGTTTGCCTCACATCTGTAGAATCGTTCTCGCCCGGCCTGGTAGCTGCTCGGTGCCACTGGACTCTTCCCAGAACCCCAGCCAGCGACTGTAGAAAAGCAAGCTGCAGAAGCAGCGGACAGAAAAGCAAAGCGGTGGATGCAGAGATGAAGTGAGGCTGGCTTGAAAGGAAGAATCCCCCCTCTCCCGCCTCCATCTGAATTCTGGAGGCGGCAGGTGCGAGTCGTGGCTGCAAATACGTGCCAAGAGAAGTTGGGCGTTGCTGGCCGAGCTGATGGGAAACACAGGCCGGGCCTGAGTGGAAGAGCCAGAGCATAGTGGGAAAAGTGGGCTTGGGGGCGGGAGCGGCTCCTGCATTGCTCCGTAAGCCGAATCTTGTGCCTAGTAATCCAGTCGGGGTGTGTGGATAATCTGCGAAAAAGGCAGTTGTGTGTTGTGGGTCACATTCCCGAGGGAGAGGGAGTCCGGTGGGGAAGCTGCCGTAGCGAAACATCCAGCGACGCTCCTGCGTTTGGAGGCCCCTCGGGCCTGGATGTTGCAAAGTTTGCACACTCCCTCTGCCCGTGGGGGAGCCATGTCTAAAGAGCTCTTCCGGGTCGCTGCTGCTACGTGAGCCTGGAGCACGGTCGCTGTCGGCAGCCCGGCTCAGGCTCGTCCCTTGCCTGTGCTGGCCTGGAGGTCATGTGGGGCTTTATAGGTCAAACCTGGCACCCAAGACCTGGAAGACCAAGGGGATCCCCCGCTACACAATGGGGCGGCTGGGTGCCGCATCGCCGTGAAACGTCCAAACAATCCTTCTGACCCAGATTGCACACAATGCATCGTAGCTGCCTAGTTGCAAATCTAAATAGAGGCAAAGGGTCAGCCCTGAGCCTCCCAGTGAATTGCCTGTTTATTTATTAGATTTATATCCCATTTGTTTTAAAGAACTCAGAGCGGCTTAGAGTATTCTTATATTATTCTCCTGCTCCTGCTCTCAATCTTCTCCCCGTAACAACAACCCTGTGAGGTAGGTTCGGCTGAGAGTCTGTGACTGGCCCAAGGCTCCATGGCTGAGTGGAAGCTGGGACCCAGACCACCTGAGGCCCAGTCCCACGCTCCTAACCACTACGCCACACTGCTTAGCATTCAGCGCTGTACAAAGACTCCCATGGGTCCCTGGGGCTTTGTGTACGATCTGATGGCGGGCATAAATCAAGCAGAGGAAATCTCGGGGTGACTGAGTGGTGCCTCCTTCCCATCCTGGTACCCGCCAGGCGTTCAAGACATCTCTGTGTGCCTCCAGATCAGGATGGCCAATGCATTTCGGGCGTGGGGGGACTCGATTCTGCACACAACTGCCTGCAAGTGTATTTTGCACCCCCACCTGGACCCCCCAAGTCCATAATCACACAGGCTCCTGCTGCGCACACTACGATCTTTCTAATTCCAGAGGATGGACGGTCTTGCTGTGCTGCACAGAGCTGCTTCCTATAAAAGGGTCAGAATGTTCTTTTCAGTGTTTTTTCTCTGCTCTTGTGCCGCTGGGTGTACCCATTTCACAGACGGATCAGCCCAAGATCCTGAGCACAAGACAGAACCGAGGGCAAACTGCTGTTAAAGCCATGCACAGAGTCAGAGGGGCAGGAGCCCTGGGTGGGTACCAAGGGAGGGGTCAGCGGGCCGAGGGATGCCCGTGCGATTGGCATCACTGACGACAGCACCGGGCCACAATTTGGGGCAGCTTGCCGGTATTACCTGGTGCTTGGCGGACTCACCTGCAAAGCCCCACAGAACTGGCCTTTGGCATACCTTTCCAAAATGTACCGCAGTATTGGATGCAGCGCGCCGAGCAGCCCGGGCGGCCTCCCTTCCACAGCGAGGCCTCTCTGCTTCGACCAGGTTGCCGCCTCTGGTCCTGCCTGGCCGCCTGGGCATTAAAAGGAATCCTGCTGGAAAGCCAGGCAGGATTTTGACAGCTGGAGCTTTTGTGCACAGGGAGATGCTGCGTGTTCAGGTGCGGACGTGTGCTGGTGCTGAGAGGTCCTTTCCGGGAAGCAGCTTTTGCTTGCTCATCTCTTTGCCATTCTGTCATGCTGTCCCGGAGTGGATGATGGGAGCCGGGACGCTGCCGTTCGCCCCTTCACTTGCTGTCATCCTCCGCACTGGCTCGATCCCCCTTGGGTTCAGGCCAGGTTTCTGCCCCAACCAC